CCACCCATGGGTGGCTTTACCACCAGAGCAAGCAGGGAATGCCTTTTGGTTCATCCTTCCAAAATACATTGATGAAAACAAGCCCAAGCTGGGCTTTCTGTGCTGCTCTGCATAGATGGGTGCATTATGGTCGATGTCCTGCTTGCAATTTAATTAGGCTGAGCCCTGTGCCAGGGTGATCTCGTGCTTTGCTAAGCCACATGGAACCCACACAGGGCAGCAGAACCAATGGGCATCTGGGACAACTAGCTCATCCCCTCCATCAGTGCACGTATAACCCTCTTTGCTTCTGCAGGTTTTCTGCAGCCTCCAAATGGCTCCACATGTTTTTCATGTGGGATTTTTAATATGGTCTCTCTTCTCAACCCCGTTATCACAAACCTACGGCTTGGCTGGCAGAGTCAGGGACATTAGGAGGATATCGACTGATGGACAGAGGCTCACAGTGAGGCAGCATGATCAGAGAGAGTAGTTTCCTTCAGAAAATATTTTTCCTGTGGGAAAAAAAAAAAGTTTATCTTCTTTCAGCAGGTTTTGTTTTTCATTGGAAAAAGTCAGCAATGCAGCAAACAGCTTCATGAATATACAGGTTGTTTTTGGCAACTGCCAATGAGCAAAGAATGTGTTCATGCGGTCCCCGAACAGCTATGTTCCTGGGAATTTCTCATTTTGAACAAGCCATTTTTCATTAGAGAAAATGCACACAGTTGAACAAATAGTTCTTGTTGGCTCTTATTAGTAGAAGAGTGGAGAGGGGCAGGCAGTCACTGCCATAGGCTGGCTTTGTGTCCCACTGGGTCACATTCCCACCCTGGGACCTCCACCTTTACACAGTATGGCAAAAGGAAGCATACCCATCTCACGTACTTGTAGGCAGTAATACAATGCAAGAATATGTGCAAACAGGACTGTGAAGGCAATTCCAAACCCAGCCTGTATACCTCTTCAGTCTTTCTGATTCTTCTGCTTGGATCACAGGTCCATACAGATGTGTGGAGGGACATTCACCTGCAATAAAGCTGTTCCTTTATGAAACATTTGCAGCACCTGCAACGGAGGCTCAAGGATCACCGGTGCCATATTACCGGGTCTTGAAAGATCACAGGGCACATGGGCACAGACCCTCCTCACAGGACAAAATGTACAGGACAAATATCCTGGTATGGACAAAAAGATGCCTGGCTGTATGTAAAGAACAATGGGGTAAGCATGTCAGTGTTTAAGCTCATTACACTACTGGAAACCCAGCTGAGGCAATATGGCATGTTACTCATCACACCCTACAGCCAACACCTACCTCCAGGTAAACTTTACCCAAAAAGTCCCAGGCTGAGGCTCCTTGCTGCTTGTATCACCCCTGCAAGCCCAGCCCGAGTCCTTGCACCAACCATGCAGCAGGAAGAAAGCAGAGCAACACTCAAATCCACTCAATTACTTCACAGCTTTACCTGAGAGACAGTGAATGCCATGAGAGACAGATCAAGGAGACGAGGTGCTTGAAGTTGGATATGACGGACAGCTCTTTATTTCCCAATGTTTTAATTTAACAAAGTGCTACACTCCATAGTTACAGTATGAGGAGTTGTTCTTGTCCAAAATATAAAACCACAAGAAAGCACGAGGACTGCTAATATCACTCTATGGAAGCAGTGCAGTCCAGAGAAACCTTACCTAGGTGAATATGTGGCATTAGAGACACCTTAAAAGTCAGCAGCTGTATAGCGTAGGCGCATTTCATCAGGGCAAGAGCTGCACATCAGGCAGGCTGGTTCTCCTGCTGGGAATGAGGCTGAGGATGCTAAGCGGTTGTGTGATGCCTACAATAAATTCTGGCTTGTGCTATCAGGTAAACCAAAAACAGAGGTGAGTGACTCGTGCTGAGTTGAGATATTATTATTGCTGCAGCAAAGTTGCGGTTGCAGCTGTGCCTTTGCATGGGGCCAAGGCTGCATTAGCAGTGCCATGACCCACCTGTACATTCAGTGGCTTTGCAGTTCACCCAGCACAGATAAGGAGAGCTCTTCTTGGCCTGTTTTTTTGTTTAGCTTTTTTTGTCCTTTTTCAAAAGAATCTGCTTGTTTGGCACTGCAGAGGTATAGATTAAATCAGTAGAGTGTCAAGAGAGTGCAGGCTTCAGCTCCCACCTGAAACCCTCCTCCTCTATCTGCAATCTGACAATTTCAAGCAAATGAATCAAACTCCAAAAATTGTATAAAGAATATTTTTAAGAGCCTAATCCAAAGTCTAGTGGCCTTGGATAAGAAGGGAAGGAGCTGAATAATGCTTGTGCTTTAATGTGCTGCAGAAATTGCACTGATTTCAGGGGTATTGCAGAAAACCCTGTCCTGTGCTCCAAAGGCTCCTACACGCTTCACCAGGACCCAAGGCTGGTTTTGACTGTCCATCTTGCCTCCGCAGTAAGAATAGGTAAGCTGAAGACACGGGGAGCCTCCAGGTTCTGGGACAGGTGCCTGACCAAAACCAACTATTCAACAAACACCTCCACTTCAAATGGACGCTGGTTGTAATCTCTCTGCACTGCTGAGTGATGCAGGAAGTAGAGCTTCTTCCAACGAGCATCTCCCAACAAGGCACCTCAAGCTGACAGTGTTCAGAACCAGACAAAGAACTGGGAGAGAAGATGGACCACAGGCAGCCCTTCTAGCACATAAATCTGTCTCCAGCACAGACCAGACAGCCAACACCAAACCATGCATGCAGCTAGACCTCCCTTTCGGCTACAACTGTCTTTTCCAGCCTAGTTGATTCTATGATGGGGGAGGGAGAAGAAGAGAGACAGTGAAACTGCCACTGTAGAAAGTCAGTGTTTCCCAAACTATGGATTTATTAGCACAACAAAAGGCCACAGCTCCTCCTTACCAGCCTTCACCATCTATCATATTGACAACCCTTCCATAAAGCTCTTCCTGTGCTGTCAAAGCAGGGGTACTCAGACTGGCCCAGGAGCTCTGCGTTTTATCAGTTGTGTTGTTATCACACACTGTGCAGGCACAGCACCATTAACAGGAAAGCAAGAGGAGACTGCCCTTCACAGGCTGTCATTGCACAAAACCCTGCTGATCTCCAGCTGCTTGGGTCTTGCTGGGTACATCTGCTCTCTTCTGCAGTGTTGCTGGTAGCTCTTCTTTTCCAGTGTTATTTTGGGTCTCTCTTTTAGGCTACAGTTGCACAAAAAGGACTCATGCCCAGCTCCCATCCCTTCTGCTCCAAGACACATACCCTCTTCTCAGAGAGGTCTGTGCCTTTTGTCATTGCTTATTCTCCATACCTCCCTGGCTGGACCAGGGTAAAGTATTTAGTGAACATCTTGCAGCTGCCTACATAGTCTTGTTTCCACCCTGCCTGGCACTGTACCTAAAAGACAAGCCTTTCTGGAGATACTCTACAGGAAACTAGAATGGAGCAGAAGTCACTCCAACCTTGCATCTCCCATCACACCTTGCTAGGAAGAAATTATCAAAGAACAAGGGACAACATTTCCTGATTTTCAAAACTGCAAGAGAGCCAGCAACTCACCACTGGATTGTTAGCACCTCCTGACCACCTCCAAGCTCCAAGAGACATAGGAATGATAAATAAATAGGGAGAGATCCATCTGGAAGGAAAACTTCTCAGCTTGGGTTGATCACCTATTATAGAAGAAAGAGGCTTTGATTTTGAGTAGGGGCATGTGAACTTAACTGTCAGTCAGAGGCTGTTAATAACACAGAGCTGCTTTTAGCAAGGCAAAATTCTCCTGGTCAAAGTTTCAGGAATGAAAAGGGAGAGATTACTGTGGAGCCCTGGCTGGGAAAGCCTGTCCTAGAGGGATTAGGGTATGAAGACTCCCCTACATGCTGACGGACCAGGTTTTACCACACATTAAGCAGGATGAATGTGTGAGGGACCACACACTTCAACTGGAAGACTAGCATTAGTAACAGCATTTTGATACCAGGTTGACCTGCCTGTCCTTCTCCAGGTGACTCAGTAGGCACATGGGTAAAGCCTACAGGAAAGTACCTGGGCTCTGAAGACACTGCTTGTTTGGAGCTAAACATCACATCTGATGACTTAACACCCAGAGGAGGCTCTCACTCTCTCGAGAGATAACTCCACTTCAGAAGGGTCTTCTGAATGTTCTCTCTACCTTGCAAACCCACTCACATGCCCCCAAGACATCTGCTTACTATCATTAACATTCACCTTTTACAGTCTGACAGACCTTTACACCTTTACAAGGACTGAAATCCTGCATCCGTCCCTCCTCAAACTCTCTTTCCTTCCACTTCTTTGAAGACTCAGTGGGAATTAATTTATAAGATGTGTGGTCTGGCCTTATTTTTCTAATCAGGCCTACTCCAGCAACAGTCACTGTTCCTTGTACGAAGGACAATTCCCACCTCAGAAACATGGATGTCTTGCATAAATGCCAGACTGAAGTAATTTGGCAACCAGAAGCCCCTTTTCTAGCTATTTTGATGGAATTTCTGTGCAAAGCAACACTAGTTTCCCAAGTTTCCCTTGCTCAGTTCCTGTGACATCTCAGACACCGACTATGCAACCTGGTGAGTTTGCCCTTACCCTGTGCCACCCTTGGGCTGCACCTCCACAACCCTCTGCAGCCATCTGGTTCTACAGCTTCACCTTTCCCACGCACCTCTCCACAGCAGACACCTCCCCAGCTGTGGCTGCCATTGCTTTCCAACTGTTAGCCACTAATCCCTCAACACTGACAGCCAACTGCTCTGCAACCTTTTGGGCTTTTCTATATTCAGATCCATCCACATCCCCCAAAGGTGGTGTTGTTCACGCACTTTCCAGTGGGTAAAGGCAACAGATGCTCCACTTTCATCTCTATGTGAATGCAGCCTTGTGAGAGATAAACCAATAACTAGCATCCTTTAAGCAAGAGGCAGAACCTGAAGAAACCCCTGACCTGCCCTTCTCTTGCCTACTTGCACACTGAACAAAAGCTAAGAGATCCATGCAAGACTGTCAGTAGGTGAGCGCTGGTATTTATTGTGCTGCAACAGACAGTGCTGGTTGAAAATGGATTAGGATTTTTGTGGTGAATCAAGTGTTGAGGCCATTCCTGTGTGTCTCCAAGAAGCATGGAGCAGAGCTGAAGGAAGAAAGAAGGGTTGAAAGATGAGGGATACGAGTGCAGAAATGTGCTTCAAACTGTATCAAGGACACTGTACATGGGCACTTCTCAGGTGGCAGGGCATACAAGTGTGTAACTCATTAATTAAGCAGAGCAGCTAATATTAGCACTAATGAACTCTAGCTCAGGTAACGTAACATTTAAAATCAATTGGACAGAAGTCATTCACAGTAAAGATTTCCATTCCTGGGTTAGGTGAGAGCTGCTGTTATGATTAGATTACTGCCAGCCAGGACCAAAACAGTACACCAGGGTAATAGGAAAATAATCATCCATATGGATCAGCTCCAGCTGTAACAAGACGCGCTGTGGATCTGAATGAGGCGCCAGGTGTGAATGTGGAATCTTACTACTGTATCAAAACAAACATCACTGTGGAGCACACATAGACCATAGCATGCTGTTTTGCCAGGGTGTACTGGTCACTGCTCGGTGGCTCAGGATGGTGGAGAGCAGCGATGCAGCAGAAAGTCGCTTGTTCCTTTTCTCCCCCTCCTTTCTTTTAAAAGTCACGGGTTATCACAAGGGCACTGCAATTTGATTCAAAATTCATCTTCAGAGCTGTCAGCTAAGAGCATGACTCGGTCTTGCATGCTGTTAAATTCCCTCTGCTAGAAGAAGAAAAGAAACATGAAAGAGCTCCACATGCAAAAAGGAAATGAAGAGCATTCAGATCCCCCTTATACTCTGAGAGGTCCCAGCCACTTCAACCCAGACAAACTATAATCAGGCTGCACTCAACAGAAAAAATGGACAATGGGAGAGTGGGTGGGATGGGGGTTTTCCTTTGCAGTTGCCATACCTTTCTTTTATGTCTCTTTGAGCCATTTCTCCTTCGGCGACTCATAATCTTAATGCTGTAGAGTGCTCCTAGGATAAAGAGGGCTCCAGCTATTCCAACTCCTACAGGAACCAGCATCCCAGACATGTATCCTGCCTACATGGAAAAGAAAGAAGCAGAGCAGCACTCACAAGACCATCCTTTTGGAGCTGTTTTTCATCAGTCTAGGACTGCTTTCATTACAGTTTATTCTATTTAAGTCCCTATCACCTGTCTGCATAGGATGAGCCCTGTTGCAGAACTGCTAAACCCAACCAGCTCACACTCCAGGCCCAAGCTGGTAACCACCATAGCTCACTCACTGTCAGTTTTTACTACAGATGCTTCCTTGTGATAGCTGAGACACTGCAGCACTTATCCACCTTTAGGACAGGAAACAATTTTGGTGCAGAGTTGCAAGTGCTGGGATGAAGCGCCTGCTAATACAGGTGCACTTGTGAAGGAAAATCTCAACTGCCAAAAGCAGGCAATCTTGAGCCAAAACAAAGACCCATGATCCCCCAAACAGCTCCACTACAACCTGTGTAAAGTCGGCTGAGTGCTTCTCTGAGCTCCCCAGGTACCACCAGCATAAATCAAGGCACAAGCGTATGTCTGGTCATGTTCAGTAGAGCTCAACCCAGAGACCTGAAAGATGCTCTTATGCATTTCTGCATAGATCTGGACTAGCACCATGGCACCAAGCGTTGCAGTGACATGTGCCTCAGCACCCTGCTGCCCACAGCCCCCTGCACCACAGCTCTAGGGTGACAGAAGCAGGCAGAAAAACCAGTGTGTAAGAGCCACCAGGCAAGACAGCAGGCATCAGCCAGGGAGCAGGCAGAATGGGCGAGGAGGTGTTCTCAGGGAATGGCTGTTCTGTGAAGCAGGGATACTAACCTCCATCATCGGAGGTGGACAGGAAACAGACCCAGCATCCTCCTGGCCAGCTATGACTGCTGGAGTGTGTCCTACTATGGCCAGACTGCTAATAGACCTTCAGTAAAGGCATACACAGCTCCTATGCTTCCAACAGACATGTTCTTATGGCAAAGTGCTCGAGGACACTAATGTCGTATCTCAGCATGGCAATGGCAGAAGCTGCTCCCAGCACCCACAGCTGGCTCTCTGAAGGAACTAAAACGTAAAGGCAGGCTGCGCTCACTTTTCAGAGAGAAGCAGCAGTTTGCCCTCCCCCTGCCTAGCCCAGCCTGAGCCTCCTCAGCTTCATCCTCAAAATCTTTGAAAGAAATGCTTTTGCTTTGTATGGGAAGGGGTCACTTGCATGAGCAGGACAGTGACACAAAGGGAGAGCACACACACCTTCAGCTGGCCTTACGGGAAGCACAGGAAATGTAAATCAGCTCCAATTCAGTTTCTGTGATCCTTACATTTGCATTGCCCATTAAAAAAATACATAGATAGCATGACTAATTTAAAATTGCACATTTAAACATTCAAAATCCTTTGGAAAATATTCCCAACTGCTTGTTAGTGTATATTTTACTGTTTTAAATGAAAATTAACTGAAGTCTTAAAGTGCCAGACTGCTTCAGCATCCTCACCTAATTCAGGCTGGGGGTCTAAATGGAGTAAGGGAGGCAGGCAATGGCTTGCTCCCTTATTAGCACTGCCTTTGTTCACACTGCAGCAACAGAGTCCTCTGCTGTGGCACTACAGCTTTACTCTTCACCCTCTACACCCCTCAAAATAGATTTTACACCTACCCAGGGACACATCACCAATCAGATGACTATCAGACAGCTCTTAGGAAGCCTCAGTCCATTGCTTACAACCACTTATCTTCATCTGCATTCCCAAACTGCAACACAGCTTAACAATATTTGCTTACACCGTAATTGCTTTTCTCCACAATCCTTTGAGTGTGTGTGTGGGAAAAGCTATTCAGTGCATGCTGCCTTGGCTTTGTACGCTTACTTGGACAATGAAAATAACTGCTTTCATCTAGAGCAGATACAATGCTAACAAGGGCTGTTTTGCTCTCCCCAGTCCCTCCAGTTCCTACTTAGAGCTTTAAATAGTAACACCTTTGTGTGTGGGTCCTAAGGCTTGAAGCATCCTGAGGTGCACTGTGCACGTTTCCTGAGCACCCTCCCAGAAAAAACAGCCCTGATCAGCACAAGTGCTTGGAGGGGGCTGCATGCCTGCACCCCAGTTCCTGAAAAAGAAGGTTAGTGACAACACAGCTAAAAGACTGTATCTCTGCGAGGCAATTAAGGTGCCTTAATTGGGTGACCTAATTACTGCAGCCCTGGTTTTTCTATTTCTGGAACTTTGCTGCTGGCACAGGCAGTGAGGGGAAATTAGAAATGGCTTTTTAATTGCTGCCCTGTTGAATTTCTAGATCAGAAATCACTAGTTTTAGTATGATGAACTTCCTAGAATGCCTGTGAGCCTTTTTCCTGCCTGGCCAGCCCATGCCCTTTGACAGGCTTCCCCTAACACCCAAACCAATGATTTATACCCCAAAAGCCTGCAACACGAAGCAGATCCAGGACGTTTTCTCCAAGCCAGAACACACAGTGGAACACAGCAGCCCAACTCATGAGGGCTTCTGCATTTGCTTCATAGAAAACCCAATTTCAGAGGCAGCTCTGAAGCCACGCTTTTACCCCTTATCCATGGGGAAGATGCAACTTCTTTGCAGATCCTTGGGATGCTTTCAATACACTCAATCCACAACCTTCCTGGGTCTCCTGGACTTTGAAATAACAACAACAGAGGACTTCAGAGAAACCTCATGTCCATTATTTGGCATACAAAATGCAACATTTGAATAGTGATTGCAGACCAGACATAAATCTGTTGCTGACCTGTGCTTCTGGTCCCTCACTCCCCACACCCTTCCCTCTCCCAGCAGGGCAGCCCTGATGAGGACTCATCTCTCAGGGATGGGGCCATCACAGGCAAGGATATTCTTCTGGATGGAGGGACCATTTATCTATGTAAAATAGACAGAGCTCTATATTACAATAGACCCAAGGCCAACAGCAAATAAAAGGGGCATGTATGACTGGTACTGATGAACTCCACAGGAAGAGGAGGAAATGGGGTGAGCAGGCTTATTTGCAAGTGATTTCCTACACCTTCATTTGGCTGTGGGGGAGGGAGTGGGTTTTTGTTGGACTTTTTAAGGGAAAATGTGAGCAAAGTGAAAGATCTGCCCCCACACATGTGCTATTCCCCAGAGAAGGGAGATGGCTCAGAACCAAGTCTCTCTTTTAAGTGGACACTAGCAGAGTCTCAGTTACACCAATGCTTGTGCTGGGCAATGCCACATCTATCTGCTCTACAGAGCAGTTCTGTTGGAGACACACACACCGCTGTGACAAGGAAGGACAGAGGTAGCCAACAAGGTGCAAGAGGAAAGAAGTGAAAGCTAAAGCTTCAGTGAGAAGGTACCTGATGCCCCTGAGCTTGTGTTGTGCTGTCTGGGGTAGGTCTGGCATGAGCAGGTGACACATGCATGCCACATTTACCAGTCTTGGTGTGTGCTTTTTACCTTCATTGGGAAAACCATTCTCTGTTCTTTCAGCATTCGCTGTGGCTGAATCCCAGGCCAAGGTGCTCTCTTATGAGCATAGACTGTACTAGACATGCCTCCTTCCTACTGTAGGCAGAAAAGCAACTCAACAAGGGCTGGGCAGCAACTCACTTTAAACCCTTCCATTCCCAGTCCTGGAAAACAGATATGCAGACTCCATCTCTCTGTTCAGACTTCATTGTAAGGTGCTGCTGAACTTTGGTGGGGATCATGAGGGAAGGCTGCATACACCAGATTACAATCTGATTAGAATTTAGAGATATATTTTCAGGGGCTGGATTTTCCTATTGAGTCGTTATTCCTCATGGTGTTTTTTTCACCTATTGAATCTGATCACGTTCAAAAGTTTCCAAGCTCTTTGAGTCACAAAGTATTCTTGTTTTAAAACACTACTGCCACCTCATTTCTGTCTTCATGGCTTTGTCATCAACACAAGATTTGGAAGGCTTCACAACCTTTTAATAATGTTATTATTTGTTCTAGGGCAGCAGAGCCTGTGGCTGGCACAACTCCTGATTCCATGCACCACCACTCTGTAACACCAGCAAGAAAAGACTGTGTTATTTTTTCAGTCTTCCTGTGCTTGCTCTTTTTCCTTCCAGGAATTTGCAGCTCTTGCACATGGAGGTAGTACAGGTCTTGTCCAGAGCTGGTGATGTGGCACACAGCCTCTCACCAGCGAGGATCAGCAGATCCTCTTCATTTGGATCCACCACAAAGCTTAGGACTTAGAGAAAAGGGGTAGAGATAAGTTAGAGGGCAATTAAGAAAGTAACTCTGGTAGTCTGAAAAGAAGGGCTAATGCAGAGAAGTCTATCAAATATCCCTGTTCCTCCTTCTGCTCTTAGTTACTACTCATCAGGGATGTACTGTGGATATACACCACTATATACACCACCAGCATCTGGTTCATTTGCCTTCCAGAGAAAAATTTAAGCCCTTTCTCAATTGTCTTTGTAAAGATAAAGAACTGCACTGACAAGAATTTATTTATTCCTGCAAGTAAACATGCTTTTGCTTTTAAAGTAATTGAAACTCTGAGCCTCCTACCTTATCTTTCAGCTTCTCCATCCAGCTTCTCACTGAAAAATAAGACAAAGAAGCTGTAATCATGTTACTTATATTAATTAGTAACAAATGATAATAATAGTATTAAAATAGACACTAATTAACTTGACAAGCTGATAACACTTTAGATTTCCTCTCTTCTCATTCATGAAAAGAGCAAATGCAGAAAATCAACAGAGAAATTCTTCAAGGGAATTGGCAGTCAGGAAGCTCGCTTTTGCCTGTGCAATTCACATCTTCAAAGGGATTAAAAAAGAATGATGAAGAAAGTATTTCAGGTTGTGGGGTTTTAACCAGCAGCTCTCTTACACACACCGGGATGTACGACAAGGAGAAAACCTTAAAGCTTGGCTATTCCCTTCCACTGGCCTCCTCCACATAGATATTATCCCCTTTATGAGGCATAGCCTGTAGTGATGCCTAAAAAAGTATTATTCCCTGTCTTTTATTCCCCTGTTTTTCTGGAAGCAGCCCACTGCCTGAGAAGTCACCAGAAGACCGGGATAGCACTGGAGGTGCTAAATTACTAAACCAAGTAAATTCACACTGCTATCACAGAGACTTTAATTTCCTAACACTTAATATAAGCCCCATGAAATATGATACCCAAGAATTAGAAGTCTTTAATGGCATGTACTTTGGAATTAAATATTCAGCTGATCTCAAAGAACTGCAAGTGCTTAGCATCAGGTACGCGACTCATGAACTCCACAGGTGACTAGATTTGTCTCTACCACACCGAAGACAAAATGCTCAGCCTTTGAGAGATCTGCTGGTATTTTAACAAATTCCTGCTCATGAGTAAGAGACAAGCAAACAGTTAAATATCAGGGCTTTTTTCAGGGTTTGGCAGCTGTGTTTTAAGCCTTGGTCAAGGACCCCCATTTCTCCAGGATCACAAGGGGACTTCTAGACACACCAGTGTCCTTCTGAGGGACATTTTTCCTAGGACACATTAGATCCCAAATGTAACACACTGTTTACAGAGTGAGACCCGAAGTCTGCTTTCTTATAGAAGGTCCATTCAAAGCTTGCATTAGCAATATTAGAGTCTGCACATGCACATACCTGACTCAGGGTAACCGTCCTTCTGAAATCAGAGCCTTACTCTGAGGGTGCGGCAGTAGGGCAATCTGTAAATGGTGGTTTTATGTCTCAGATACAATACAGAGAACCACAGCATCTAGGAAGTAGCAAGACCCAGCCCAGAATTCAGCATCACTGAATTAAACTCTAACAAGTTCAAAGTGATTTGAACGCTCCCTTCTTAACTATTAGTAACATAACAATTTCCAAGCAGAAGGACCCCAAATTGTCTTAGAGGTGGAAGTGTGAAACAAGCATGGATGCATACACACAAATCCATTTATTTCTGACATGTAGCTAAGAAAAAAAAAATAAGAAAAAAAAAAAGAGTTATCTAGAAGACAGACACCTACAGCACTAGGAAAAGACAAGAGGTCTACTTTTATCAACTCTTCCCACCATCCTGATGCGCATGGACTAAGCCGTAGTAAATTCAATTTACAAAGGGCCATGATCAGCATCCTCTGCGAGTTCAAGCCTGTTTGCCTTGAATATCACTCCAGTGGAATACCAGAGAGCAAGAAAATGCATGGATACCCTAGGCTAGGTTTCTCAGCTAGGTTTCTACGTGTAACACTACAAAAAACACTGGATGTAAGTTTCACTTGGACTTTCAAGGAGAGACCCTATGCTGCTTACCTGTTGACAGGCATGACAGAGACCAAATACCAGGAATATTCTGCTTAAAAATACAAATACTGCAAATCAAAGGAATTAATCCCAAATTCTCGCCAAAGAACCTGCTCATGAGTCCATGTTCAATGTTTCTATTGTGTCCAGGCTGCCAGGAGGAGTGGTGACAGTGACTCACAGTCACACAGTAACAGCACAGCTTCAAAACCATAATGCACATTTTGAAGCTTCGGACTGATGCCCTCCATGGACATCCAGACAGCTACAGGTGTCCAACTGGCCCTGACTCAAGCTAAGCACAAAGCCTGTTTTTAAATGTCTTTCTCAATAATTATATTGGATTGATGATCTTGTCCACAGTTGACCCACTTTCTTGTCACTGAACATCAGTGCCTCTAAAGCAGCAGTTAACTCTGGAGTATTTCTGTCAAGTCAGAGGCAGGGCCTGATCTAATAATAGTCTACTACCTATTTTCAACAAACACAAATTCTGGCTTCATTCCTGTCTGCTCCACAAAACAACAGCAGCATGTTTGTTGGGACCCACAGACTCTATAGGACAAATCTTTATTTGCTATTTATACAATTGCCTGTTATTAAAACCAACTTTGTTTTCAGCCATGTAGAGCATGTTGGATGCTTTCATGAATCAACCCAAGCCACAGGAAAACACCACAATGCGATTTCTCCCAGACTGGGTGCCTCTCTGACAGATGCTTGTGACAGCCTCTGCCCTTTGCTAGAGGAAAAGAATGGCCCCAAATTCGTGAGGTTAAGGCACCAGGAGGTCAAAAACCTGGCTGACCCTTCACTAATGCACAAAACTGGTTTAACACTTTCGAGGAAATGACAACCCAATGTGTCATTAAAACCAAGCACTTACTACTTCAATTATTTATCTATATGCACACATGAAGAGGTGTGGGTAGGAGATGAGGCACTTTTTCAAGTTAGAATTGATAACTGTGCAAAATGGCTACCATCAATTAATTCTGGACTTCAGACTCTAATTATGCATCATTATCTATAATTAATATTCTGAATGTGGTCTTGGAAGAGGAACATTGTGGATGGCACTTTCTCGTGAAAATGCAACACTCTCCACAATACCAGGTGACTTGCAATGAGGCCAAGCAAATAATTAGTAACAAATACTCTAGTCCATTTATTTTTCATCATCCCCCTTTTTTCCTTCCCTCATCACAGAATGTCCTGAGCAAATAACAACAGTCTCTGGGTGAGAAATTACTAACAGGTGTCTGCAGTGTTGGCTCATACTCCATGGCATTTTAAGGACAGCAACTCATCCAAACTCTCTGCCGTGGCTTGATTTTCATCCTTTGGTTTCATGGGAAGCTAAATTAAATAGGTGTGGAGCACTTACAAAAATTACATATAATCTGACATTTCCTCAGGGATTTATATAATGTCTGCATCTCAGCAAATTAATTTTAAATAACATATAGCTTAAGATTAAGCAGGTCAGGAGCACAGAGAAGGAGCGTGGTTGTCTGGCATTGGCATCAGAACAAGCCCAGGATGAATTCAGGCAGTTAGAGATCCACTGTGTGTTTTTAGTCATTTTTATCCAGCCTTCCCCTTCAAAACATGCAGCCAGCTGTTAAGAAACTACAGTGCCAACTAAAGATCTAAAGAAGCTAGACTAATTCGCAGACATATGCAACAGCCTGCAGTGCCTGCCTAGCTCTTTGGAGGAACTGGCTCAAAGGGACAGTCAAAAACCCTCAAAGGCAAAACCCTTCTGAAAGTTCAGATTTTGGCAGATGCAGGCTGAGGGCTCAGAAGAAGGACAATAGGTGATGTTTGAGCATCTGTGGTATGCAGCACTTGATAGCCCAACATCTCCTTTCATCAGTGAACTGTTCAATGCATTATATTCAAAAACCCTCTCCTTCCCACTGTGTCCTATAGCTTTACATATCCTATAAAAATAGATTCAGCCAGCTTACCCAAGCTGTTAATTTGTTTTTTGAAGGGCTCCTCTTTACAAAGGGAGTGATCAGATATAATTTACAAAGGAGAATCAAAGCAGAAGGAGTTTGGAAGCTGCCTCCAAGTTCAGCTGGAAAGATCCTCTAACAATGAAGCATTTGCATGATTTGCATCAGGGGAGATTCAGTATTTGTCACTTCTGACCAAAGAAAGTGAAATTAAGGTAGCACAACAGACTCTATGCACTGCACATCTAAACTAGTCTGCCACTTTCCTTCTAGGGAAGCATCTGATCTCTTGGTGTTTGGCTCAGGGATCTCACAGCACCCTCAGCTTATAGCCCTGCAAAGTCTCTCTACAGAGGAAAGGAGGATATTAACTGAGGGCAAAGATCTGGAAAAAGCTCACAAAATATTTACTACACAGTAACTCCAATGGCTACTGTGCACCCCCACCATGGAAAAAAGTGAGTCCACATGTACCACTACTAGAATCATAAAATATAGAATACCTTGAGTTGGAAGAGACCCATAAGGATCATCAACTCCAACTCGTCGTCCCCTTCCCTGAACCCTTATCGGTGGCTTTCACTCATGACCTCACTTCTTGTTGCTGTTCCAAGGACAGTCCATCTTTAAGTAAGTACTTTTTTACTAGTCAGGTCTCTTGCACTCCCTGTGTTCTGGAAGCTGCAGGGTACTGGGTTCCAGAGCCAGCCTCTGCCTTAAGCCTCACTGTAACATAACACCAAATCTCTCACCAAAGGCTTTTCCCTGCTTCCCTTGCCACCCTCCTCTGAAATCAGGAGCACAAGTCCTCTGGGCTTCATGCTTTGCCAACTTTTAGTAATCCTAATTGCCTAATTATCTACTGCAATGCAGTGATAAAGCTGCTTAATAATTCTGTTCACTTCTCATTCATTCTCTCCCTTCCCAGATAAGAAAATGCAAAGACCTTCTGGTGGAGATTTCAATCAATAATTCATGCCCTTCTGCTGGAAGTTCTGTCTTCCCCTTCCCCTCTTAGATGTTCTGCTTCTTTATCTTGGCACTTCAGTTTCATCTTATCAGCTTGTTTTAATCATACTCTTTTTTAATCATCATCTAAAGCAATTCTAGTTTTCTATAGCAAAACCAGCACATTGTCCCTCTGCTTGTGCACTGTATTTTCAAATTCAGCATTTATACCTTCATTCCATTGATACTGATGAAGGTACGTCTAGCACCTTCTACTTTAATAATTCACCAACAATCTCCAGACCAGTGGTGAAAATGTGGCACATAAGATCCTATATATTCTCCAAAGTGCAGAAAAAAGGATTGAAGGCTAGTTTTATGGGTAA